GCGACCCAACTGTCAACGCCTGGCTGGCTCTGCAGTAAACTTTTCCTGCCTATTCAATTTGCTTAGAGTATACTGGCAGACAGACTCGGAACGAGGATCCAATCTATCAGAAAATTGACTTTACAGATACACACACACACACACACACACACACACACACACACACAATCAAAGAACTTTTCCCCACCCGTCGGCCAGCCGACGAATCATCTTCCTCACAATCCGATTTACCCCAAAAGTAAACAATAATAAACACGGGAACCAAGAAAACAAAAACAGTGGGACAGGTGCCGAGAAAAAAAAGTCAGAGACAGACACCCAAAAAGAAGCAGGCGGCAGGCCAGAGAGACAAAAGCCCTATGGACCCTTAATCCTCAACTTCGAATTCTGCTACGGTGCTACCCCGAACTAGCACGGAGCCAAGCCTCTGGAGATTAAAGCCCACTGAACTAACGACGCGCTCGGAGGGGACCAGGGGCGATGTGTGTCTCTAGTGTACGAAACGGTAAGTCATGATACGCGGTTGTTCTGTTTTTTCTTTTCTCTATCTTGGTCGTGTCTTGGCTCGGGTCTAGCTCTTCCCTTTCCCTTCTGTCGGGAATTCCGGAGCAAGAGGGAAACGCCAACAATGTCTTTTGCATGTGGAAAACGGTGTAGGGTAACGGACAGCAATATCCGGGCTGAGACAATGATTCAGATCGAAGCGAAGCGACCAGGTGTTCATGAGTCGTTATGTTCGAGTGAGATTCGAGCCTGACGGAGTACAACGAAGAGACGTACTGTAGACTAGTTAGTCTTCTTTCATCTTGAGTCGTCTCGGAGAACATCAATCCCGTACCCTAACAGCCACCACCAACTTGACTTACTACATGCTTGCGCCACAACAGACGGAGAGAGGGGAAAGGGACGCGTGTGCACCCCTCGGATTTAAGGTTAGCCTGACAAGCCACGGAACTGCAGGGTTTGTTGACGACCCTTTTCTCTCGCGCTCGCTCTCTCTCCGCATGAAGAAAAAACAGCCGAGACGGGATGGGCAATAGTGATCACGAGTGCGTCTCGTGGTTGATGGGTGGTGATGACTTTGAGCGGCACTAACTTGAGCAGTGAGGACGCAGTAGACAGATAGGTTAAGACTTGATGATTCGCAGATCGACGTCCATAGTAGGTGCACAATCCAAGAGGTCGAGGGGTCTAGCCAGATCAACGACCCTACTTTTTAAGTCGTCACGGATACCGGATCGGGAAAAGGGTGCTGGACTCGCCACGAGAGCGTGATCGGATTGGACCTTACTGCGACTGGATCAATATTGGCCGTTGAAGGGCGACTCGGATGTAGATACACAGGAAGTACATGGTCCCCCACCGTGAGGGACGATACCACATCTGCCAATGTCAACATGTTGGTTGGTTGGGGTTAGTCTCGTCCCTTCATAAGCACAGAACTCTGCCATTGAACCGAAAGGAAACAAGAATAGAAGAAAGTCCTACAGTAATCATCAACCACAGGCTCAGGCCTCCTCCGACTCACTGACTACAAGTAGTCTACAATACACGTACGTACGTCCTCAGAACACTTGACTCTCCTCGGCCCTGAGATCTTCAGGGTCCGAAAAGAAAGTTTGGGAACCGTAGCTTGGTCGGATTTATTACGTAGGCCCACTTCAAACAATCCCCGAACAGAATACGAGTGCGAGCTTGCATTCCCAGCTCAGGGTCGTCGTTCTTGTGTTTTTCTTTTTCTTTTTTTTTTTTTTTTTCCTTTTCTTCTTGGGAATTAAATTTTTCCAGAATCTCAGACCCACGCATATGCTTTCCTCCAGTCATGTCCCATTGGCTTCTTTCTCCAAGTGGGTGGAATATCACTAGTGCAGGGAAAAATGGGCTTCGCTTGGCTTTTACCCTAGAGTTTGCTAGTGTTCTTTGCTGGGCTTGGAGGGAGGGAAGAGAGGGGGGGCTCGGTTCGGTCTAGCATGCAGGAAATTCGGTGATTTTTGTTAGAGGGCTTGATGTTTTTTTTCTCTCATCCAAATTGATTGTGATGTTTTTACTTGCTGGGAAAGATCAGAAGGATGTTCCGAATGATTAACATCCAGAAAGTTGGGGTAAACAAGCCCTGGTATACAGCAGATCCTTTCCAACCATGTGGCCTGATATCATTACTATCAACCACCACCATCACCGACCGACCCCCTTTACCTACCTTATCACAACACAATAGTCAACAAAACAGAGAAAAAAAAATCCTGACCAAAACAAAAAGCCACTAGGGTCAACTAAAATCCACAATTCACACAGGGCTGCGTAAGCAGAGACGTCACTCAGTGGGGTCCGCGAGATTTGACATGCCGCGCGGTAGAAAATTAGATTCGTTTCCCCCCTCCTTCTTCCTCTCCTTCTGCATGGCCGGAAGATACTGAGTAGAATAATACGCTTGGGGTTTTGCTTCTTGCCGGACACTAGTCCCGAAAATGCCTAACCTGGGTTTACTAGTGAGAGGAGGATGGTCAGGGCGAGCGTATCTGTGGTTGGTGTATGCCCTGCCTTCGCTCTACCTAGTCTAGACTACTTGGGTGTAAACGAGGAGGAGATGGGCTAATATCAGCCCTCACAGGGCCCATGCTGCTTGATGGGAACATCATGTGGGTTTGACACTACTGGAGTAGGTAATGCTATCGAAAACACGAAGAGATGACTTGAATAAGGGATTAAGTCCGTTGAATCTTGTAAGTGACACACGTAAGCCAGATATAACTTACCTCAATGGAGAAGCCTTTGCGAAGAGAACACAGTCCCTGGACATTGGGTAAGTTGCTATGCACGAAGAGGAATAAGCATGCTCGGCGCCGATAACAGCAATGCCGAGGACGACGACGACGACATCAAAGACGACGACGACGACGCGGGGCTTGTCTCCATTTCAGGGACCACGATTAGACTACTAGCGAAACGCTCCTACAGCCGCAGATGATGAGATTGGTATCATATCTAGCGCCAATTTGCGTAATTCTTGTTTCCCTTGGCTTCCCTCCCCCTCAGCATTGCCGCTTTGATTCGCCATGGTGGAGGCCTGCTCTTATCTTGTTTACTTCGTTTGTCTGGGCGAACGGTATGCTGCACAATCCCCCTCGCGAAACCAGCCCCAGCACTCACAATCGACTGCGAATGCCCTTCGGGGCATGTCAGTTTACGTGGACGCCTACGAATGAGTGGGACTCCAATTAGCGGTTCGATAATTAGGGCTGGCGGGGGGAAGATTGGATGGAAGAGAACAAGATTATTTGGCGCCGACTACGGAGGTAACTTAGCACTAAAATGGGCGGATTTATGGGGACGCAGGGCGCTCCGTCGGATCTGTCTGTCGCTTTGCGTGATGGGAGAGAGGAGAAACCGGCGGCTTCAACTTGGTATCATCTACCGCTACCGCATTGTTCATCGATATCTTTCTGCCTGGATGGAAGGACAATCTCGGGACTCCTCGATTCCCCTCCCCCCCCTCCCTGCTCCTTGTACAATATGGACACTTGTGAGGCTTGCTCAGGAGGAGACACAGGGGAGCCCCAATCTCGAAGCTAAGCTGGTCTCTGTCCGCCCCAGTGGGCTGGTTGATAACGAGGCGTGCTATCTCGGACAGCCGCCCCCCCTCAGCCGGGAAGTAAGTACGTACTGCCCTGCAGGAGGAAAGAGCCTACGTGTGCACTTGTGATGTCTCTCTGCTGTAGGGTCGACTCCTTGGGGGGCGAAGTAAAAGCAACATAAGCTTTGCTGCCTCGTAACATCCGCCGGCCCCCCCTCTCTTCCTGCAAGCAGCATATTCAGCATGTTTACAGTACATTCGAAGAGGAAAAGGAAGTCACTCAGTCAGCCACCGTAGCCCAACAGCCTCCCATCCCCCCGTCTCGAGTGCGGAGAAAAAGGGTCTCGTGCGTCTAGGACGGCGCAGCAGCGTATCGAGTCGCACTTGCGGTACGCAAAGTAAACCTGCAGGGAAAATCATGCCTAGTCAGTGCTAGTGGCGTCGAGCACCTCACGACAGGACAATACAGACATCATCCGGCCCTCGAGGATGACGACTTGATTCCGAGATTGGGTAGATGGAAGACGCAAAAGCCCGCGCATGGCGTCGTCAGGGTAAGCAGCCACCGCGCAACAAGCCTTGTAAATCGCTCGCGGTGTTGGATTGTCTCGTCCAGTGCAGTACACGCCCACAGCGGTACATCTCACTTTCCTTTTCTAGATCGGGGGCGAAGGTAAGGTTGATTCAAGGGAGGGGGGCGGGGGGAGGACACTTGGCTCGTTGTCATTGCCGTGGTATGCGTTAGCGGGGGGCCTCGATTGGAGAGAAGCTTGACTCGGCCATGATCTGGCATGGTTATCGGAAATCCAGGGTCATGCTTGCCCTTTCACTTCGCAGTTGATGCGGTGGCGCACGGTATGGAGGGTGTGGTCTTGCAGGTTGTCTGGCAAGTCATACGCAGGTCAACTGTTTGTAACTGTTTGCTTGCTGGACCGCCCGAGCTATTCATATTCTCGCCATTTCATATCATATCATATCACCTCCCTCAGACTGACTCGTGCTATGCGGAGTCTGAACACGAGGATGCGACTGTACGTACCTACAAAGAACCCCTGCGATGTCTCTGGTGCAGCCACTGAGTTTACACTGATGACTGTTTCTTTTTGAAGTCAGATACAAGAAGCACACATGGGTATGTCTAAACGGCCGTTACCACTCGATCGCGTCAGTCTTTGGATCGTCTTCAGTTTTGATAATCTCTCAACTGACACATCTCATCACTCAGAACGCATTCATCCTCACAATAATACGCCATGCTTTCCGAAATACCAGTTCTGTGAGGCCATTGCGCACCACACCCTAGACATGCATCGCTAGCTCAGCCATGCGGACTTAGTGCAAGCAAAGTCTCACTTGCTATCAGGCTAGGCTATTTGCAACCCTGGCATGGTTGATTCTGTTCTACCTTCCTACCCCAATCCGGCGCTCACGACTTGCATGGGTCGTGGATCTCGCGACGCGTGGGAAGCCATGGAATCCAGCGCGGGGGGAAATTGGCGGGGTTGGGGTCGACCACTGTGGGGTAAGCGCGATCCCCATCATACTTTTGCATCTGGAAGTGTTGAGGCCGATCGTGAAAATGGCGGGAAGACTGTCTGATAGAATGATAGAAGGACGCATGCGGGTTCTATCGACAGGAGCGAAACCCGCAAGCATCGCATTCCATTCCTCGAAGCATCGGACCCAGGCCGAGATGAGTCCATGACAGATTGTCAGCATCGGTCCACTATCGCCATCAGCATGGATGGAGATCCGATCGACTCGGCTGTTTTACCAACCACCGCTGTTATCGCAGATGAACACATACCGAGGCGCGTCGTGGGCAACCGGGAGGCTGCGTTATACCAACTTGCCCTGACCAGGAATGTGGCGGGTGCGATCTAGCCCTTATCGACACACATTCCAGGAGAGGGCAGACTGCTGGCAAAGCCCTTATCACAATCGTGGCGAGTGGCGAGGATTCTTGGAAGCTGTTCTGGCATGTTGATCGCCGGCCGCTTGGAATGTGAGATCGCGATTCGCGCGTCCGCCGACTCGAGGAGTGATGGTCCACGACCCGAGCCTCGCATGCCGAGTCTCAGATCAATCTATGAAACCAGGAAGAAATTCCGAGGCCCTTGTCGGGTTCCAAGTCGGTCTACGTGAGGGTAGGGGTCTCTGTACTCGGTTTGGAAGGCATCTAGATCTATAGGAGATCCTGGCGGGAGATGTAGATACCAGCCTCTTCTCCGTTTCAAATCCGTCGGCGAGATTCCGAATAATTCGGCCCATCGCGCGCGAAATCACGACCGGCCACCCGATCGATGGTCAGGAATGTGTCCGAAAGTGCAATTTGAGCCAACCGAGTGGCATTTCCCCGCGATGCTTCCCCAGCCGTCAACATTCCAGGGGGCGGCAGACTTCTTCGTCCAGGGCTCTTCATGGCGATCCCAAAAACTATATCTACCACGACGTCGTCACTCCTTCTCCATCATCATCATCATCATCATCATCCTCATCATCATCATCAGCTTCAGCTTCATCATCACAGAGTCTAATCTCTCAAGCCTCTCGTCTCATTGATCAGCTTCATTCCTAGCTCGCTCCAAGCAACATCATCTCACCCAATCCCCCAATCAATCAATCACAATGGCCATTCTCGCAAAGACAGCTTCTCTGGCTTGCTTCCTCATCGCCTGCCTCTTCTTCTTCTCCTCCGTCATCCAGGCACTTCCTGTCCCCGGCTCCAACACTCCATCCAGAGTCTCCTCCATGGCCTTGGCCGCCCGTTCACCGGTACGCTCTCCCTTCCCAAATCCCACAAACCACCACCACCTCCACAACCCCCTCACTAACATATCCACCCCAACAGCGCGAGATCCCCAACAGCGACGAAGAAAAGGGCCTACTGAACGGCCTGCTCGAAGCCATCGGCCTCCCCAGCCTCTCCAAGCTCAGTCACTGGAAAGCCACCACGGAGCCTCAACCCTCACACACCGATGACTCGGACAAAGATTCCGATTCCGACAACAACGACAACGACGACGACGACGCCACAAACACCCCAGCCGAAACAGACTCAGAAGACTCGGACTCCGACCCCCACGCGCACGCCCACTCCTTCATCCCGGATTACTACAAGAACTTCAAGGACAACTGGACCCCGGCCATCGACGACGGCAACAGCCTGACCCCAACCGTGGACTCCATCGGCGATGACATTGAGAACGACGAAGACCTGGACAACATCAACAACGGCCTGCTGCTCTCCCCACCGGCGTCCACGCCCTCCAACAACAACAACAACAACAACAACAACAACAACAACAACAACAACAACAACAACAACAACAACAACAACAAGAACGAGGACCTCCCCAAGCCCACCGAGGACCCCCAGGGGTTCATCAGCTCGCTCAAGCAGCGGCTCGAGGATGTGCTGAAGGCCGCGTTCGATAGTCGGGATGAGTTGACTCTCTAGTCGGTTTCATCTTTCGCCTATGCCTTTTTTCGATGTTTGGATTCTGCGGACGGAGTTTACGTGATTTTGATCTGGTTTCGTACCGGTGTTCTGGGATATGGAGTCTGGTCTGGACTGGCGCTTGAGTTTTCCTTTTCCTTTTGCAAGGGTTTCACGGGTACGGGAGTCTTGGGATTTTTTTCGGTATGGATTCGGGAGCAACAAAATAGCGTGGGGGGTTGTGCTTCAACTTTGGGAATTGGATGGATGGATGGATAGTCAGGGCAAGAGGGTGGGCGGGCGGGGTGACATGAAAAATAGAACAATCGCATAGAGATATTCAGATATGATATTCAGCCAGCGTCATAGATAATGAGAGCAATTTACCTTTTCAATTCTGCATTCACAGTCCGACACACAAAATTTGTGCTCTGTGCTTCTTCTTCTCTCTACTTGTGCTGGATGTCTGCTAGCCGTACTGTACAGCACTTCACAAAACACCATGAACAACAAGGCAGCAGCTGCCGCAATAACATCTGACATCTAGTTAGTGTCTTGTAATTCAATCCCGCCAATATCGCCATCCATTGTAAGAACCCCCCCCGGTTTACAAACAAAACCCAACGGAATACACGGTACATCCATTCAATCAACCAACGAAAACACACGCTATATACACAACCCCCCCCAAAAAAGCCCGAAACTGGTTTGTTCTCTTGCCCAACACCACCACCACCACCACCAACAGAAACCATGCTAACTCGAATCCTCATCCTCATCAATCAATACAGACCGACGCAATCTACCCAACCCCAACCCAGCCCCAAGTTGCCAAAGAATCAACCGACTACCTACCTGCTCGTGTACTACATAAGTTACAAGTTACCCGCTCCCTAGAAAGAAAGAGATAAGATGTACTCGACCCGGGCGATGATCACTCCAAAGGCTATCAATGAAAAAAAAAAAAAAAAAAAAAAAAAACCAATCCCCATCCCCTACTGCCTTTATATTGCACGACGATCGGATCCTCCCAGAAAAAACTAGGCCACAACAAAAAAAACGTCAGCGACAGGATTTGAACCTGTGCGGGCGAACCCAATAGATTTCTAGTCTATCGCCTTAACCACTCGGCCACACTGACTATTGATGCTGAGTGGGGGAGATTTTGCCATTATACGGCAATGACTGTGGTAGGATCCACTTTGGGCGGGACGGACGGTTGGAATTAGGGTTCGTTTGGCTGGACGGTTTAGTTACGTATCGATAATGGATGGCTGGTCGAACGCTGGGGCAATCTGGTCTATCATTGTGTTCGAGAATTACTCCATATGATTACCAGGAACTGGCTCAGTCAATATCGACTGGCAGATCTACAGTAGGCGCATACTTCGTGGTGGAGATGGAGTTGAAGAATTAACGGGGCATTATTCCATTCCAGGCACGTACCCATGCTCAACATGATTCTATCCACAACAAACCAGAAAGCAAAGCAGCTCGTCCACATCAGAACACAGACAAGTTATGTGGCATATAGAGAGTAGTAGACATATACATACACACACACAGGGATAGATAGAGAGGAAGACACAACAGAACTGGGAATCAGAGATAATGCTGATGGGCGCATGAACGGTAAATATGATGGTGGGACGGAGTATAGTCCGCGACACACACACACACACACAGAGGGAGAGAGAGAGGTATCGTAGAATCAACGAGGTTCGATCAATGATTGGCGCTAGATGGATGGGTCTAGTTATTAGACATAATATAGAGAGATGGGAACAACAAGCGCGGAATGAGAGTGAAAAGAGTCGACGTGAAAAAGAGATAGAAAGACGAGCGCAGCTAGCTGTACAGACCATCTATGGCGGATAGATGGGTGCGGTCATGGGAAGGAAACTTTTTTACACGGAAGGTCCCGAAAGGGACCGGTGATGTAAAGTGGATGGTGGATAGTGAGGGCGGAAGAGAGAGGATTGGAGCTCGGAGAGGCAAAGGTGGGTTGATGGACAAGAGATAGAGGATATGTCAAGGCATTCTCATTTGTCGCCGTGAAGATTCAACCAGCTCATATCTGAATTGACATTGGCTTTCTGGCCGCTGCCGCTGTGCCCGGGCTCCTCGTGTTCCGGCATCGGCTCCAGGCTATCGGGGATGAGGATGCTGGATCCACGGTGGTTGTAAGCGCTGGATGGATCGAGACGGGAATCGCCGTCAGAGGGCATGGCCATGGAGGGTGCCATGGAAGGCGCACGAGTGCTGGGATTATAGTAGCTGCGACTGTAGGTGCTACTGGGCGGGCGGCCCATCCAGCTGCGTGTTTGCCAGTGCGGATCGTTCTCCAAATCGTCGCCAATGGAGGAGGCGGTCGAGATGCGGGCGGACTGACTCTCGGGGATGATCATCTGTCGACCCTCGGAGGAAATGATCGACGACGCATGTTCGGTGGTCGGACTGCCGCTGATCACCTGACCGCCGAGTGGCTTGGGTTCATCCAAGAACCCGAAGTTGAGGGGCGTCAGCTTGATTGGCCATGCGGTGCTGCTGGAGTCAGTACGATTGCTCCTCAGCCCCGGAGCAGGAGGCTGAAGAGTTTGTGGCTGCATTCCGGCCAGGTCCGTCGCACTATTATCTTGAAAGTACCGACTCCACCCTTCATTCGTTAACCGATCGCCGGGGTTGCCCCCGGGGTGTAATTCTTTGACGGACAGCTCTTTGTCAAGGGCAGCACTAGAGTACGCACTCGGCGAGTATGTACTAGGAGAGGCGTCGGGGGACTGCACAGTCACTAGCGGACTCGGCTTCAACGGACTTGTGTTTTGCGCGTAGGGGGGGCGCGCTCCAGCGGATCGCGGTGTCTTCTCATCGCCCATTGATCCCGAGAAAATCGCTAGGGAGTCGACGGAGGCGGCAGCCAAGGGGGCGGGACTTTTTGCCATGGGGTACGCTGATTGTGCTAGGGGCTCCACCCCCCGATCCTGGAAGCTGAGTCGATCTTTGTCGCCACCCTGGGCCAGTTTGATGCTTTGTTTCTTGCGTTTGATCCAGAGAAGAATGAGGATCAGGATGACGCCTACACCCACAATCGCACCGAGTGTAGCACCCACAATGGTTCCAATGTCGCTGCTCGATGAGCCTCCGCCGGCAGCAGCGCTGGACGACGTGCTCGCGGAGGAGCTGGCTGAGGAGCTGCTGGTCGATGCAGTGGTGGATGTCGTGTGCGTCAACGATCCGAGGATTTGCTGCTCCGACTCATTCCCATAGAACAGATGTGTGGTGTTCACCCAGCTGTTGGCGGTCTGGTTGAAGATGGCAAGCGAACTTGTGCCGCTTCCACTGGAGATGACAACTAGTCCATCCTCACCCTGCGCTAGGGAATAGTTTTGTCTCGTGGTTGAGGAGGCCAGTTTGCTGGAATACGTTAGGTAATCGCTCGAGGAATCCTCTCTCTTCTGGCTACTCGACGAAGAATTGGTCGTCAAGGCGGTTGCGGGGTTGGCAGGCGTACCGCCTGGCTTGACTAGCTCTACGCTAGAGACTGTGTTTGGCGATACACTCATATCGAAAGCCTCAAGAACCTTGGTACCATTTGTTCCTTCGAAAAGGGCGGCTTGGACATCGCTGGAAAGTGAATCGGCCAGGGTAATATTAGAATCAAACCAGCCACGGGTCGGGTTGAATAGATGGACTCCCTTCGGGGTGGTCGTGCCGCCTACCAGGACCGCTTCGCTATCGCTCCAGCGCAACAATACAGGATAGTAGGCTGGAGATGCATTCGAGGCTGAGAAGGCGTCTAATACATATGGGGGCGTGGTGTACGCGGCAAAGGTATCTGACGAGGCGACGGATTGATCCGAGGTGTGGCCGCCGTAGACCAGAATGCTGGAAGAATTAGAAAGATAGACCGCCTGGTGTCGAGTTCGATTGGCCAGGTTCTCTTGGGGGATAGCCGTCCAGTTTTTGTCTTGGAAGGAGTAACGCTGTAGGCCGGAAAGGTTGGACTGAGAACCGGAACCGCCGACCACGTAGAGCGCATGCTGGTCTTCGTCTCCATCGATACCACCCGTCACACATGCCGCATCGGAGACCGGCTCTCCCATGGTCAGGTTGGTCCATGTCGCATTAAGTTCGAGAGGAATCGACACAAAGCCATTGGCGGAGTAAGCGTAAAGAGTGTTATCATAGATGACGGAGCAATGGCCCTCCAAGTCCACAGGGGGCTTCGGAGCCAGCATAGCGTGTAAACGAGCGAAAGGCGAGAAGGGAAGGAGTGTTCTTCGATGATACCAGCCGAAGAAGCTACGGGAATGGCCAGCCGTCCTAGGTCAGCACGCGGGCGTAGGGACGAGGACGGAGATTGATCTTGGGGGTGGAAAGGACTGCCGGAGCACTATCGCATGGTCGAGGAGAATCGCGGATGGTCGTCTCGGACGAAGTGAACAGGGGGGACAAGGCGCGAACGGTAGCGACAGCTATGGTGCGTCGAGGGCGGGTGAGTGACGTTTGTCAAGAGAAGGATACGCGCGCAGACGGGACTGGGGAAATTGAGGGTATGGCGAGAAGGCGGGAAGGCACAAACGAATGGCGACCTAGTTGCGCGAGTGTTAATTGAGCGAGGGGCGATGTCAATTTTTCAGGGGCGAAAAGGATAGCCGTGGTGCACGATATCAAATCGGCAGTAGAAGGAAGGTGAAGGGAACGAAAGCGACGAGGGGTCGAGGAGGGAAGAATGCGATACGAACGACGAAAGAACGAGAGGGAAGAGGGCAGGAAGCCAGAAGGAGGAGGAGCAAAGGACGGAGGGGAGGGGAGGGGAGGGAAAGGAACAGCCAAGATCAGGAGAGGGAGAGAAGGGGAGAGAGTGAGAGTGTAAGGTAGTAACGTTAGTGGTAGTGGTAGAGGTAGTGGTAGTAGTGTCTGGGCGAACAGTGGAGGATGAAACGCCGGCGGGCAAGCTTAGACCAATACTAGCCCGCGTGTAGAGCAACTTACAGTGGAGCTGGAGCATTCAGAGTTTGGATTTCGAGGTCGCGGTCGGAGAATTCAACGATTGTGATATCGATAGATCAGAATAGAAGAAGTGAGCGCCAGCACGAGTGCCCAGCACGTTGTGGTCGGGGTGGTCCGCGTGTAGGAGGGAGTGACGAGAACGAGGAGTAAACAGTCCCTGTCAGGGCGGAGAGAGCAGCCTAGTGGACTAGTAGCCCAAGGAGGAAAGGAAGGAGAGAGAGAGAGAGAGAGAGAACACGAGGAAAAGGAGGGCCAAAAGGAAGAGAGGAACAATGAAACCGAATTACTACTAGCCCATGATTAACTTATGTCCTGGAGTATCTGCCTGACGAGATGAAGACTTGTTTGTTGATTGATTGATTGATTGATTGATGGATGGAGTGATTCAGTTGGAGGAAGGAGGTTGGGATCAAAAAGGAGGGGGAAAGACCCTTTCCACGGTTCCCTTTCCTGCTTCTCCTCTCCTTTGGTTCCTGCATAAGAACTGCTGCAAGGACACCGACCTGATTAACAATTGCTACAGGAACTCTACAGACGCTTTTACCGGGTGGATGGTGGCCCCCAAGATACCGACAGTACGACAGTATTTCAGGGGAGTTGGAGGGTTGGACGGTGTTTCGCCCAGTGGTGAGTGAGCCGGACGATCGCATTGGCCCCAAAGATGAGGAGCACAGCTACAACACTTAACCCTCAATGGATCAATCAACCCAAGGGTAGGAAGATAGCTAAATAGCTATAACTTATGTCTTGAGTCCTGAGTCCTGAGTCTTGAGTCAGACAGATGAACATCAGTGATACTGCGTAACCTCAGGTGATGTTTTTCTCTTTTCTTTCTTTTCTGTAAAGAAAGTGGGGGCAGGGCAGGCTAGTCAGGAACCGGTGCTGCACGAACAGGGATGACGCAGATTAATCTCCATCCCTATTGATTATTTCTTTATTGATTGTCTCTGATTATTCTATTAACTTATTCCATCTTACTCACTCTTTCTGTCGCTTTCACATCCAATATCCATAGACAATCAGCCACCAACTACACCAACAGACGCACTCACCTGAATCATGTCATCTCACCTCAATCGATCACAAAAAACCCATATCATCAAGTCTGACCGGGCCAGAGCCTCGGCTTATCCATCCATCTATTTATAGATGACTCTCGAACACCACCAGCAGCAGGACCAGCAAGCAGCAGCAAGCAGCAACACCCCATCCAGAGACTCGGTCTCCCGACCGTTTCAACCCAGACGGGACCCACTCACTCACTGCCGCCCGCAGGGTGCTTGCTTGCTTGCTCTGTTTTTTTTTCTTTTTCTCCTTCTCCCTCCCTTCCCCCTCTCCAGTCTCCAGTCTTCAGTCTCCAGTCTCGTGCTTCCCCCCCACCCTTCTCCCCCTACCTGACGTAATTTGCCAACGAGATTGGGAGTTTTTCCGAGAGGGGGGAAATCACATGTTGAGCTGGAGACTAACTAAGCGACTCTCTGCCTCAGTGCCCTGCACCCAGCACCCTACCTACGCAGCTGACTCGCGTAAACCCGAACAACAAACCAGACCAGTTCCTGTAGATGCTTCACGGTAGCATATCCATAAAACCTCCATTATACCCAGTGATGAAGACTTCTCTCTGCTGTAGCTGTATTAGAAGAGGATAGCGTGGTGTCTCATCCACTCATCTGCCTGCTGCCTATTACCGGCGAAGCAGAATACCTGTCCTCGTAAATGGGTCGGTGCATTTACTGTGAGTCTGTGTATTGATGACTAAGCGTAATCAGCAGTGATAACTACATTATGCAGATACAACAATAGCAACCACGAGCTCACATCAAGTCGAAAAAAAAATCAAAACAACAAATCTATTAGTGACTAACATTATCATGTAAGAACGAAAGTGGGTATCTAACATCCCCGATCATGTCGTATGCATATATACAGGTCATGCAAGG